TCTGAATTAAAAAAAAAGTGTTCTTGCTTCAAAGTAAGTGCATGATATGTCATTCAATTAATGCTCTAGCAGAGTTTTTGTTTGAAATGCCAAAATCAACTTCATGAGTAAGGACAAAAAAAAAGGCAATAAGCAAATGTTCTTCTGTATCCTTTATGTCAATTTGGGCTGAAAAACAGGTTTTTTTCCTTTTGCAAAAATTAGCTTATTTCACGACCAAAAACGATGCAAACAAGCTGAAACGTTATGTTTTCAGCAAAACAGTGATAGAATCTGCGAAAAAACAATGGAGACAAGCTAACACACAGTGTTCTCAGTAAAATTTGGGCAAACAAAACCTTAAAAACCAAAAAAAAAACAATTGCGCTGACTTACCCATTTTTTGCCAAGATAACTGCCAAAACACTGAAAACTAGCTTGAAACTACATGTTTTTCACAAGATCGCGACGAAATCTGTCTAAAAACTCCAAAATACGGCAGAAATGTACGATTTTTGCAAAATTTTTCGCTAAAGTTGACAAAAACACTAAATTCGACTGAAAAATACGTTTGTTTTTTTTGCAAAAATAAGCTTATTTCAGTTTTAAAAACGCTGCAAAAAATGTTCTCAGCAAAATAGTTTAAGAGTCTGTGGGAAAACACAAAAACCAAGCTTAAACCAAGTGTAAATTGATAAAAAGGCCCGAATTGCGCATTTTGGCAGTTATTTTGGCAAAAAATGGTATATTTTTATTTCAAGCAAACTTTCAAGTAGTTGTTAAAGTTTAGAGCCAAACACAATACCAAAAAAAGCTACGAGCTATCCTAACCCTAACCCTAACCCCGGGTTAGGGTTAGGGCTCGGGTTAAGAACGCAACTTTTCACTCCAGTCAAAATGATGCAACTGGTTAACATGGTCCAACCAGCCAAAACAAGATAAAATGGTTTAAACGATGAAAAGATTTTAATTACGTGACATGGTCCAATCGGAAGAAACGATCTCACTTAGTAAAATGGTGCGACTGGTTAACATGATCCAACTTGATAAAATGATGCCAATATCTAAAATGGACAAACTGGTTTAAATAATCCAACCAGTTGAAATGGTCTAACTGGATAATGCATGTGTAACCAGTGAAATTGGTTCAAATAATTCAGGTAAGGATGGTAACATTAGTTAAAAAGATCCAGCATATTACAGTGGTTCAACTGGTAAAAATAATCATCCAACTACTAAAAGTTATTAAACCCCAATCAAAATTAATCCAACCGCTTCAAATAATCTAACTGGTCAAAATTCTTCAGGTGGTTATTTAAGTGAAAAAGGTGACAAAATCTTCTTAAAAATATTTTTGAAGAGGCTTACACCCTTACCCTAAACACTAACCCTACCCCCAAACCCTAACCCCAAACCTTCACCCTAGCCCTAACCTCAACCGCAGACCCTCTAACACTAACACTAAGCCTAAACCCTAACCCTAACCCTAGCCCCACACCATAACCCTAAAACCTAACCCTAAACCCTAAACCCTAACCTATAGCCCTTAACCTAGACCTAACCCTAACCCTAACCCTAACCCTAACCCTAACCCTAACCCTAACCCTAACCCCAACCTTCTCTATCTATCCTGTAAGTGTACCAGTCGGCCTATCGTTTGTTTTTCAGTAAACTTTCAAGTAGTTACTGAAATTTACAAACACAATACCAAAAACCCTGCAATTGAATGCTTGTAGAAAAATATTAACGCCAACCCTAAGCATAGCCTCATCCTAGCCTTAACCCTAATTCTAACACTAAACCCCGCTAACTCTAAGCATAATTTTACCCTAGCCCTAACCCTGATTGTAACACTAAACCCCTCTGACCCGAAGCAACCCAAACTCTAACCCTAACCAGGTAATGGGCTCCTGCCCTAACCCTATCCTCAACCCTGACTTAAACCCTTTACCATAGCTTAGGATTGGTTTGGGGTTTGGGTTAGGTTTAGGATAGCACAGAGTTAGAGTGAGCACAGGACGAAATAGCATGATTCCGTAATTCGGAAAAATGAAACTCTATGTTTCCACATCATTCACTTCTTCCTTGGACCTGTTATGTTTCCGTTATGATTCCTGAACGGAAATATGACGACACGTTTCCGTTGCATTTCTGTCAACGGAATATTATCATCGCCTGTTTCCGTTACGTTTCCTTGTACGGATTCAAACTTTTACCGTCAAGTAAAACATATATTTATAAAGTGCTGTACAGTTCTTACACCACGTTACCATGAAGACGTGATCGTTCGAGGACAACAAAGGCAAATTGACGTGCATTAGGTGTGTACGTTCGTAGGAATCATAAGAAGTCCTAGAAACTTCGATGTTTTACACTGAGCTATGTGCATGTTAATTTTGGAACTGTTTCGAAACCTTACAAAATTGAATCTTTTAAACTTACTCTGTGCTTAGATTTTTAAGCAGCTGGATCATTTGAGCCAGTTTAGTCACTCAAACCAGCAATACAATACTAGGCTAACTGGATAGTTTTAGGGTTAGGGTTAGGATTTTCAAGTAGGCACACGCAGTTGTGTGGATATTGTGGTACACGGAGTTTAGTAGAGTGTAGATTTTAGCAGTATTTGCCAGTGTTGACATATTTATAAAATTATGGTTCCAAAGTGCGTGTCACTGTTGAGAACCCAAGAAAATCATGAGAAAGTCGCCGATGGATTAGCCATAAAAATAAGCCCAACTCTGAGTCAATGCCAAACCACAAGAAAGTTGTGAAACTCGCGCCAATGTAAAAAAAAAAAAAAAACAACTGAGGTTCGAAGTATGGGTCGCTAACATCCTATGAAAATCATGGGAAAGTCGAGGAGATTGGTCATGGTACCAACCAATGCCACTTTCCCATGAAAATCAAGAAACCTGTGGTAACTAGCCAACGTATGCTAGAATGACAATCTTTGATAAAATTCATATCTAATAAGGATGTGTGAAATGGCCAATATCGCTCTTGGCCGAGATACTGGTTTGCCGTGTTTTGGCAGTTATTTTGGCGAATATGGTTAAAATCAAATCTGTGTAAAAACAGTAAAATCAACGAGTTATTGAGGTTCGTCAACATAGGGAGGGTCCTCTTAGTCTAGAGAAAAACTTCTGCCCACGGCTAAAGGCGTTAAATTAATAAATTGATATATCTGGGCGGCATATCAAACAGCAACACTAAACTTCTCCTTTCTCACAGCTTTTTCCCCTTTAACATCTTTGTTCATTCCATTTTTTTTAAAGTAAAAACTCGTTTTGGAGGCATAAAGGTCCCTAAAGCAACGTTTCAAGATTTTATGGCGATCTTGTGAAAAACATGTAGTTCCAGCTAGTTTAGAGGGTTTTGGCAGCTATTTACACAAAAAGTGGGTAAAATCAGCCCAATTTGTCGTGTTTCTGACGGTTTTTACGCGTTTTTTCCCCAAATTTTACTGAGAACACTGCGTTTTAGCTGGAATAAGTGTTTTCACATGGATTGTATCCCTATTTTGTTAAAGACATCGTGCTTTTGAATGTAAAATAGGCTGATTTTTGCAAAAAAAAAAAAAAGTGTTTTTCAGGTCGAATTGAGCGCTTTTGTCAACTTTTGCGTAAAATTTGGCAAAAACTCGTGCGTTCTGCCGGATTTTGGTGTTTTTAGATAGATTTCATTGCAATTTTACGAAATACATGTAGTTTCAGCTAGTTTGCAGCGTTTTGGGCTTGAGACCGGCAAGAGTGATGGCAGACACTCTTAGCAGAGATAATTGTGCTAGCAGATATTAAAATTTCACCTGTAAAGACAATAAATTAATTGAACACAAGAAAAAGGAAACTTGATAAAAAAAATTAGAATAATGGCGGGGAGAAAAGAGGGCTGCACTAAAGATTATGTACTTGTGTTCTTGAAGCTGAAAATTAACAAGGTTCCTAACAATTTTTGAAAATCACACAAATCCCAAGCTATATCCAGGGTTTTCTCTTAATAAAATTAACTCTTAAAACAAATTGGGATTTTACCTTGGTCCTTTTTTTTTACTTTTTATGTACATTATTTATGTATAAATAATGCTCCCCTGACCCTCCCCCAAATTTCCAGAACAAATGGAAACTCTTAAGAATGATCAAGCTTTACCTTATTATTTAAAATTTTTACATCTTGAATTATCAAGTTATCACAGAGGATTTCTTGGTACTTTAACCTGATTAACACCCTAAAAGAAGTGCACATATATACTACACACAATCAGCCCAGTCAAAATGTGCCACAGCTGACAATTTGGCTGCCTGCCACAATATAGCTGCCGCTAACTTCACACTTTTCACACTTCCATTCAAGACAAGGTTCAGCCTCTGCTGCCTATTACTATCACCAGCTTGCCTTCCACTCAAAAACATTTTGACTGAGCTCATCCATACATACATACATAAGTGGGAGATTAGGTTACATGAGCGAACCTGCACTATTGAAAGAGATCAATGAATTACAATTCAAAGAAACATTGATAAATAAAATAAATCAATAGAAATGACAAAAATCAAACTAACAGCAGACAGTACTCTTTCAGCCTTCTGGACCTGAGCAGTGCAGTGATCTTCAACTAAGTGCTTAATTTGGACATAAAACCAGAACTTGGTATAGCTAAATATTATTATTTTTCTTTTAATATTCCCACTCCAGCTGATGTGTATTATTTGAATTACAAGTCTTATTAGCATGCAAAATCACCTACGGACAAGGCACACACTTTGGACATAAAACCAGAACTTGGTATAGCTAAATATTATTATTTTTCTTTTAATATTCCCACTCCAGCTGATGTGTATTATTTGAATTACAAGTCTTATTAGCATGCAAAATCACCTACGGACAAGGCACACACTTTGCACCAAAATAGCTTTGCATCAAGTACATTATCTAGTACATCATTACTATCTTCAGGTATTTCTAATTTACTTGTGAAAATCACACAAATCATAAGCTATATACAGCATACAATCAGCAGCATATTATTAGAAAGGAATGCAGTAAATTTTAATAAGAATATTACTAAGTAGTTAAATAACAAATAGCCCAGTAAAATTGTGCCCGTTGCTGGGAATTTGGTTCTCAATAAAATTAGCTAAAATAGCCAATCTTGAGTTTTACTGCTCACTCAAAATGGGCTGGCAGCTTACAATTTGGCCGCCTACAATGAAGTACCTTCTGCTAACTTCACATTTTTCAGACTGCTTTTCAGGAAGAGGTTTGGCCAGCTTTTCTACTACTCAAAAACATTTTGACTGGGCTGTGCAAGTCTTACTAGCATATAAAAAGCACCTTCAGGTAGATTACAGCAAAGCAGACTTTGTACCAAATGCTCTGCATTAAGTACATCATTACTCTCTTCAAGTATTTCTAGTTTACTTGTGAAAATCCCACAAATCACAAGGTATATTACATTATACATTCCAGTTGACAAAGCAATCAAGGGTAATTTTTTCATAATGGATGCAATGATCTTCAGTATCAAGATTATTTGGTACCTAAATAGTAAAATGTTCGAGAGAAGAAATAATCATAAACATTTTCTTTCTCATCAGCATCGACTTCCAAAAGTAATGGATAATGACCACCTAAAACAAAGAAGAAATAAATCAAATTTGTGATTTCACAGGGCTTCAATACGAAACAACTATACATATCTTTTATTTCCTACCACTTACAAGTGGCAGGAATGGCTGAAATGGCCTTTACGTGAACACAACAGAATCCTATGCGTGTATAACCATGTAGAACTATTTATTCGGTATCGAAATTACATCCCAAATGTCATGATATTTGACTGAAACTCAGCTTACCCATCTTTCGTTTAGACTTCGAAACTTGCTGCTTTTTACCACCGTTTCAATGTTTTCTTGTTGTTCAAAAGGTGGTAGGGCCATTGCAGACCGTGATTTTTTTTTTACTTGAGAACCAGATCACAACACCCAAGCCTTTTCACGCTAAAATATTAAACTACTGAGATTTCCTTCGCCGCCGTAAGCCGCCATTTTATCTTTCCCTGAATACTAGTTCCCAAGCTTCGAGCCCGAAGGTCTCAGACATGCACTGAAATTATGATATTGGTTATTTCAGGGCCAATTTAGAAATAACGATAATCGTTATTTTGGTGTCGAGATCATGCTGATCACAACTGAACGCACATTTACCCCTTTCCTCCGCCATCTTGAATGTTGTAAGACAGTGGAACCGAGTCCTTCTCTTTATTTAACACGTGTAAAGAGCATTGGTAAAGAGTGCCACGAAATTACTATATCCATAAATTTGGTGACAATTTAGAAATAACGATAATCGTAATTTCGGTCTCGAGATCATGTTGGTACAATACACTCGGAAAAAAGGCTGCCTGGAATCCAGTCTTCACGGCTCACTGAACTCAAATAGAAACCACGTGACAAGTACTTCTCTCTCGTGGACAAATAAATAAAGAAATAAAGAAATAAATTTCGCCGGCCTTGACTAAGTGTGGGAAATCCCACACAAAAACATCTGTCATCTGTTCTGGTTTCTAATGGTTATCCTTTTTCTTTCTTGCAGAAAGTTACAAGACCGGAAAACTAAACAACAGTGCCGAGCCCGCCAACGAGTTTAAAGCTACTGCGGTTTTACCTTATGTCAAAGGTCTGTCCGAACAGCTTCGCCGTTGCCTACAACAACAAGGCGTACGCACTGTTTTCAAGTCGGACACTACAATAAATAATAATACTAACCTTTATTTATTACCTTTGGCGATAAGAATTACGGTAATATTACAATAAAAATTCAAAACACTACATATTTTATATACATATCAAATCAAGTTAAGTTTAGCACCTCTAGGAACAAATGATTGTTTGTGCCTAACAGTGCGTGATACAGGTATTCTGAGGTGCGCTGGGTTAGTCTTACAAGATCTTAGATTATGGCCATGATCCACTGGCTTTTCTAAAAAACGTTTACAAGGATGTGCTTCAGATTCTAGGATACGTTTAAATTCTTTCCTCGTCAAATTCTGACGCCTAGTTACAAGTGACTCAACAGTATCCCTAGGGAGACCAATGACATTTAGACATCTAAAATATATTAAAGTTCACACGGCAACCAGGTGGACAATCAGACATAGTTTGAAGCTACACTGGTTTGCAGATTTAATGAATGTAACCGAAGAAGTTACAATTCATAGACCCAACGTTTCGACACTCCTGTCTAGTGCCTTCATCAGGGGTGATCTAAACGCTGCAACAAGAGGTCCTTTTATATGATCACTAATTAGCGGCCTTTTTTCTGACGAGGTGTAAGTAGGCGTCAGGAAGCAGACCGCCATCGTCACGATTTAAAGGAGCGTGGGCGGAGTTAATGTGCCAAGCCTCCAAACAAAGGCGCTGGTGGTAACGCCGATTAGTAGTGATAATTTTAGAATTATCCCACCCAATTGTATGGTTGGTTAGGCAAGTATGCTCCGATAAAGCTGAATTTTCCTTTTTGCAAAGAAAAACCGCTTTTTGGTGCTCTTTTAACCGTGTACCATGGGTGGGATAATTCTAAAATTATCACTACTAATCGGCGTTACCACCAGCGCCTTTGTTTGGAGGCTTGGCACATTAACTCCGCCCACGCTCCTTTAAATCGTGACGATGGCGGTCTGCTTCCTGACGCCTACTTACACCTCGTCAGAAAAAAGGCCGACGGCTCTACTGAATTCAAATGCGACAAGAGGCGCTCCGCTTCATTTCCGGATACCGCAGAAATAACATCATCGACATATCGTTTCCAGAAAAAGGGTTTAACCGGTGAAGTGGCTAAGGCCCTTTGTTCCACGTCTTCCTTGAATAGCCACAACGTTAAAGTTGCTCAAAAACCTTTTCAGACTTTGGGGCATATTTTCGCCAAACCCAAGGATCCTGTCACGAAAGAACAACGAACCGACGCCATTTATTCTATTCCTTGCAATGACTGTGATAACGAATACATCGGACAGACCAAACGCCAGTTTGGTACACGGTTAAAAGAGCACCAAAAAGCGGTTTTTCTTTGCAAAAAGGACCTCTTGTTGCAGCGTTTAGATCACCCCTGATGAAGGCACTAGACAGGAGTGTCGAAACGTTGGGTCTATGAATTGTAACTTCTTCGGTTACATTCATTAAATCTGCAAACCAGTGTAGCTTCAAACTATGTCTGATTTAGACATCTATTCTGCACTCTCTGTAGATCTTCTTCGAGGTAAATGGGCAGCCCTCCCCAGACAGGCGAGGCATATTCTAAAACAGGTCTAATCTTAGTTTACACGCTTTGCTGACAATACTTGAGACATGTATATTCCACTTGAGATCGTTCTGTACATATACACCCAGTAGTTTAAACTCTGAAACCCTCTCCAGTTCGGTAGGCCCGATATTAATAGGAGCAAAAATTGGACAGGACTTTTTGGAAGGTGATCCACATATCTTTGGTCTTTTTACCATTCAGCTCCATTTTATTCTGCACAGCCCATCTTTCCGAGTGAGTCACAGCATCCTGCATTTGACTGAGAGATTCCTTAAAAACAAGTTCGTATAGGGTGCAGTCATCAGCGTACTTGCAAGTGGATACAGGTATTCCCCTGGGGATGCAGTTCTCAATATCGTTGACATGCGCATTAAAAAGTGCAGGAGAAATGACACCGGGTACACCAGCAATCACCTCACCATGTCTGGAGAGGACTCACGGGAGCTTAACCTGCTGTGTTCTGCCTGATAGGTAGCTCTGTGTCCATTTCCAAAAGCTCATGGTGATGCCCATGCCAGCGAGTTTAGTCAACAGCCACCAGATCGAAGGCTTTTCGGAAGTCTACAAAGACCGCACGCCATTATATAGACTTCCAGAATCTGTAGCGTTATACCAGTCTTGTGTGATGCTGGCAAGCGCAGTCATAGTTGATCTTTCCGCCGTAAAAGCGTGTTGGGAAGCATTAAGACTTAGGTCCTTTAGGTTTAGCTTAAGCTGGATCCTCTCCAGTACCTTGGCGACTTGTGGCAAAACTGAAAACTGCCTAAAGTCATTGTTTATATCCGTCGGATTATCAACCTTGGGTACCGGGCTGACTAAAGCATGCTTATAACTAGTAGGATACTTGGACTGTACTAGACTGGCACAAATAATATCGTGTACAACAGGTGCCAGTTCTTCGTGAAACCGTTTAAGAAGCCACGCAGGCACACCGTCAACACCTGTTGCTTTCCTCGGATTCACATGTTTGAGTATGGCTTTGACTTGCCCAATGTTTGGAACAGGCGGAGGTCTGTCGTCCAATTCATTGGCAACCTTGCTGACTGACAGTGCGGTGGGCTCTCGGTCCTTCCAAGGAGCAACAAAAGCATCAAGCAGAAGGTCGCTGTTTTCTGTAGTTCAGCCTTGTTAGGCGCAGTTGAGGTTATTGATAACTGCTGGGCACCACAGAGCGAGTAGATATATTTAAACCACTTGCTTGGATTCGTATAACGGAGATCGCAGGCCTTCCTCTCATAAAATTTACGCTTAGCACTAGATATAAGGGCTGCTACCATTCTAGGATGCAAACGCACGTGACGCAGGGGAGTACAGGTGTCAAGAGAATCAATTAGTAAGCTATTGAATGCCTCAACTTTTTCATCAACATCAGATGCTTCGTAAACAGCACTCCAGCTTTCCAAATTAAGTTTAAGCCCCAAAGAACGTAGATTATCAGGCTTAAATGTCCTTACAGATCTAGATATTGCTTTCCCATGCCGCTGCTGGTTTAAAGGAGAGAATAGGATGCACTGATGATCAGATCGACCAAGCGGTGGTAGAAGTTGTGCTTCACAATATAGCTCACCCATTTTCGAAAGAAATTGACCTAGAATATTCTGTCCACGAGTAAGCATTTTGACCAATTTGCGTAAGCTGAATCTTTGACACAGTTGACCCGGGTTGAGGTGGTTAAAGTCCCCGGTAATTATTATACCCGCCGAAGGTCTCTCTATCAGCAAGTTGTCTAAGCGCTCAGTGATGTGGTCAATCAATTCTCTCTCCCCGGTACACGTTTTCCCTGGCGGAAAATATAAAGCAGCCGTAATTATGCAACTGAAAGGTCTTGAAATCCGAGGTGGCGCATGAAGTAACCACAGAACCTCTTTGTCACTGGCTTCGATATTCTCTAGGCGTATAGTTGGAGTAGAGCTGTGGACATAAGCCAACACACCGCCGCCTGGAGTAGGTCTGTCTTTGCGAAACACATTAAAAGACTGGCCAATGCTAATAGCAGTTGATGGTACACTGTCCGTCAGACAGGACTCGGTTACAATTGCCACGGTCGCATTGTTCATTTCGACGACTCCGTGCAACTCGTCAACTTTATTTGAGACATGACAGGCATTAGTTATTAAGAACTTAGGTACCTTGGAGGTAATCCTAGTCCCTGTAGAGATGTTTATACAGTTCGTCGCTAAATGCCCAGCTCCATATTTGGCTGATTGTACGCGCTGATGGGTAGTGATGAACGTGTTAATACGTTGCGAAGATAACATGGCAGCTCGTTGTTTTACTCTGGCCCCGGCTCGAACTCCTCTCGTAACCCTAAGGATATTGATGGACGTCAAAGTATTCTATAGAGTTGATTCAATACGAGGGCGCCCATTGGGTCTTAGTGACATGAGGAAAACAGACGAATAAATTTGCTTCGTCAGGGCAGCCATCTTGGAAGTTGTCGCAGTCACAGGTATCGATATTCAATCTGGCACAACTTCTCGACGATAGAAAGAAGAGAGATCAGGATGAAAACCTCACTGAAGACTTGAGAATACTTGGGAGGAACACAGCGTTTGAGATGAGCAGAAAAAAGTGAGATAATTTAGCAGCTTGAAAATAGACGTGCAGCCATAGCCGGCGCTATTCCGTATAAACGTTAAGATCTCAGTTAGTACGACCAAAAGACGCTGTCGACCCAGCTAAACAAGGTGGCGTAGTTTACAGGATTCCTTGTGAATGCGGCAAGGTATACATCAGAGAGACTGGAAGACCTATGCAAGACAGAATTAAGGAGCACGATCGAGACATTCGACTCGCCCGTACCGAGACCTCCG